CTTTGCACAGCAGCAAAGGTCAAAGGTTTCTACATGTGCAAGTCTCTACATGTGGGCAAGCAAGAGACAAGCGCATGTATGTGGGGGGTATCATATGAGAGGAAGGATTTGCCTGGCAGAATTGGTGGTGGTTGTTGCCTCAATTCTTCCCTGGGCATCCCCCTTACGCCTGCATTTCCTTTACCTTGACAAATGCAGATTTTGGATAACCTTCTAAGTTCTGCCCATTGAACTTCTTAGTTTCTCTGGATTTGCACTTTTGCACAGCTGATCCTATTTCTATCTCAGTACAACAAGTTCTGCCCTGTTTTACAAGGCTTCTGTCAATATCTCTTACGAGCCCAAGTGCCTTCCATATGGAGATTGTTTATTTGCACAAATATTTGCACAATGATTTAAATGGGCATTCTCTGAGTTGGGATGAGGGGTGGAGCCTCTAAATGTTTGACCAGATACTAATCAAGTAGGTAATAAACCTCTGCTTACCTCTGATTCACCTTTTAATTGTATCTGAGATAACACAAGGAACTCTTAGCTCTCAAACTGCCCAGTTTGTGGAGGCATACAATTTGGACAAGAAAATTGGCTTCCAGGTGGAAAAATCAAAATTAGAAACAGAACTGTTAGAACCCAAAACTAAGAATTTGTCAAGAATGTATAACTTGCTGCTGAAATGGAACACTCAGGATGAAACGGTGAAATCTGCTATGATTAAATGGGCACAAGACGTTGGACACAACATTATGTTCGCTGACTGGGAACAGTTATGGACCACAGGTATGAAGTTTACTGGCATGTAATGCCCTAAGAGAGAATATTATGAAAATGATATACAGGTGGTACATAACCCCAATTAAGCTTGCAAAAATCTACCATTTGCCTGATAATAAATGTTGGAAATGTAAAGAAACTGAAGGTACATTTTTCACCTTTGGTGGACGTGCCCAAAGATTAAGGCTTTCTGGGAGATGATATATAATGAACTAAAAAGGTATTTAAATATACCTTCTTGAAGAAACCAGAGGCCTTTCTCCTGGGCATAGTCGGCCAATCGGTGTTAAAAAAGGATAGAACTTTCTTTATGTATGCTACAACAGCAGCAAGAATACTCATCGCAAAGTATTGGAAGACACAAGAGCTACCCACACTGGAGGAATGACAGATGAAATTGATGGACTATATGGAATTGGCGGAAATGACTGGCAGAATCCGTGACCAGGGAGAAGAGTCGGTGGAAGAAGATTGGAAGAAATTCAAAGATTACTTACAGAAATATTGCAAAATTAAAGAATGTTAGAGTGATATTGGATTGAAATTAAGTGGCTTCTAGCTGTACAGGCTTTAAAGTTATATATAGATCAAGATTAAGGATTAGGATTAAAATGGTTAAAGAATGGAAAATTGGTTTTTAATAGGTAAAAATTTAATGTTATATTATATTAAGATTAAGGATTGGGATTAAAAAGGAGGGAAAGGAATTGCTGGACAAACAAACTGAATTGGAATACAAAAGAGGGAGGTATGAGGAGGTCCGGGAAATAAGTAAATGTAAAAGTAGTGATGAAAAGATGGAATTGTTTTTAACTGTTTTTTCTTTTTTCTTTTTGTATTCTGTATTGTGTATTTTTATTTTTATTTTTAAATTCTTTTTTTTATTAATGTGTCTCTTTTCATGTGAAACTTTAATAAATATCATTAAAAAAAAAACAAAAAAAACTGCCCAGTTTGTTGGCTGATAGCTATAGCAATTTAAATTATGATGATTTCAGGAGGCAGTCCCAGTGGAGGCTTACGTTGAAATGCAAATAACAGCTTCAAAAAAGTGTTTTTTGTCAGAAAAATGGCAGGGAGACAAAAAAGAAAAAAGAAAAAACCTCCTCATAGTTTCAAGGCTGCTCAAGGCCTGGCTCCACCAGGCATTTATATAACAAAAAACCTCAACTGCATAATGCAATTAACAACACATCTAGCTTAATTAGGAGGCCTACCTAAAAGATAGACTCACCCCTTATATTCCCAGTCAGCAAATGCACTCTGTATTTAATGCTTGGATCACTTGTATGTTTGCTGCCCTGGGCTCCTATGCGAGCCCACCTATGCAAAACGCAAACCAAATACTCAAAGTGAAACACAGCTTTGACATTTACCTTTCTCTTGCTTTTCATTTCATTTATTAGACTTATCTGTCGCTTGTCACCCAAAGGTCTCCAAGTGACTTACAGTAAAAAAAAAAAAAAAGGCAGAGGGCCTTCTCGGTAGTGGCACCCGCCCTGTGGAATGCCCTCCCACCAGATGTCAAAGAGAAAAACAACTACCAGACTTTTAGAAGACATCTGAAGGCAGCCCTGTTTAGGGAAGCTTTTAATGTTTAATAGAATATTTTTTATAGAATATGATTTTAATATTCTGTTGGAAGCTGGCCAGAGTGGCTAGGGAAACCCAGCCAGATGGGCAGGATATTAATAATAATAATAATAATAATAATAATAATTACTGCTCCTCTCCTGCAGCTGGTGGGGGTGCAGAGCAGAGGCATACCTGCCTGGGAATTTATCTTTCCACTAGATGTCAAGGCCAGCTGTTGCAAATCAGTGGTGGGTGGGTCCAGGGTCCTCCAGGAGTGGTCCGGCATCCCTCCTCTCCCAAAGCAAAGCAGGAGGATGGTATCAAAAGTTTTACCAGGATTTGAGATACAGTTCACTACCCAAACACGCACATGTGCATATATTCAGGAAAACAACACACAAAAACGCAACGCGTTAGAGAAAGGAACTTGCAGAAATGCATATATTAGGCAAAATTCTGTTTTGAAAATTGCATATATTATGATAGGTGTGCATGACAATGAATAAGAATTACCATGCAGGTGGTTTGTTTGTTCTTGAAAAGAAAAAACCTAAAATTTCAAAATGGGACTAACTGCATTTAAGATTTAAGAGTGAAGTCGAAATTGAGACATTTGTCCATCTCTGCCTCACCAAAAACCCACCAAAACCTCAGACTTGCCTGGTTTCTTAAAGCTTCCCTCCTCCCTGACCTCTGCCCTCATTCCACTTCCACAATGTGGGTTATATATTATAGATTTTAGTTATCATCATGCCAGGGCTGTCAGTTCTTTGATAAATAGTGTTATCAGTGCTTGCTGCCAAGAAAGATCAGGCAAAATGCTGCCCTTTCCCCTGCCCACTTTTAGGGCACAGAGAGCCACTAGAGAGTAAGCTGCTTATATAAGCCCAGCTATTTGGTGAGCTGAACTAGTCAGGTGCCTTCAGCAGGTAAGCAAGATCCTTTTTCTATTCTTTGCCGAGTGAGCAATGCTTTTATATGGGGAGAGATAAGTAACCTGTATGTCAGCAGAAAAGTCCAGGCTTGCCGAAAAGCCATTGGGAATGAAAGCAATCTTAACCATAGAGCCCTTGTGTGTGGCTGGAAAGCACACCTGGTTAGCAATGGCAGACACTCCAGCAAGTCCTTATTTTCCAGGGACAGTCCCAGATTTATAGAAGGCGTCCCTGTTTCTAATTTGATCCTGGGATGCCCCACTTTTCCTTATATTCATCAGAGAAATGTTGGAGGGTATGCAATGGCTGCAGAAAGGCGTGGGCATGTTTTTTAGCATGAAAATTCTATTCCTGATCCAATGCTGGTCTTATCAAATGCTGTTAGGTAGCCCTTGTGTTTCAGAAGTCCAGCAGCCTTCAACCAGAAATCAGGTGGCACTAGTTCCATGCTATGGAATGCAGAACTCTTTCAGCAGAGATTCGGCAAGCCTCCTTGCTGTTAGTTTTCGTATGTTTCTTGAAGACCTTTTCATGCCAACAGGACCCTCTATTCAGTTCAAATTGTCTTAAGGCGAGCCTGCCATTTTTTAATGAATAATTTTATTGCTGTTGTTTTTGTGGTTTGGACTGCCATTTTTTAATGAATATTTTTATTGCTTTTACACACCAATACCCCTCCTTAAAACTGTTGTTTTTGTGGTGTGGACAGGGTTTGGATCTGGTGCAACTTTATCTTGGCTTACCTTTCACTGGCTTGCTTCCACCAGCTTCCTGCAATGGTATATGTCAGATGGCAATGGTGGTTGCTCGTGAGTAACCAGGCAGGACTCCGACCTGTCTTTTACAGGTTTTATTTTGGTGCAAAACCATTTACAGTGCAGAGCCACAAGTTCATGTCTGCCTCAATCGCTAGCAGAATCCGGGAGTGGTCATTTCCGGGTCCTCCCCCAACATAAGAGCTAGTCACCCCCAGCCTTTTCCTTCCTTCCTTTTGTTTTACACCTCTGCGCAGGGTGGGTGACAGACGAGGTGTGCTTCCCTCCTGGCCAACTTGGCCAGGAGCGGTGCTGAGGCTCCCAGCAGGATCCTCTGGTCCCTTCCCCTCTTCCCCACTGGAAGTGTGGCTTTCCCCACCACAGGAAGAGGAACTGCTTCGCAAGATTTTCGGAGGTTCCTTGTAACCCAACTGCCCTTCTGCTTCCCTACCCTGTTCCGATGGCAGTACCCTGGCAGTATATATCTTTTTTCTAGAAAAAGAGGCCCCAGAACTTGTTGACCTTTTTTTAGGGGGCAAAGAGGTGCAAGAACTCAATTCTAGTGAGTTCCGGTTGAAAAAAAGCCCTGTTTTCAATAATTTGCACATTTTTGCAAATACAATGCTTCTTTTGGTGTGTTATTTTCACAAATTTTCCCATTGTTTCAAACACTTTCACCTAATGTACACATTGTTGGGTTGCAAAACTACCTTGCAAAAGTGTGAATCTGGAAAAGTGTGAATTTTGAAGAATAACTGCATTCCATATTGTGTATTGGTTTGAATTGTGTGACATCCGCAGTTCCTTGTGGAAATGCAAACAAAATCAATTTTCTCTCCATCCCTACCCAGGTAAGACAAATGATCAGAGCAGAAAAGTTAAAGAAAATAAAAGAAAACTCATGCACACACTCACACAGAATCTGCAGATGACCTGAACTTCTTTCTTTTGCTGTTTTGTAGCCATGGCCAAGAGGCTGCTGCTGCTTTTGACCGGACTGGCGCTCCTATCTGGTGAGTTTGGTACTTAATTAACCTGCAGGTTGGTCCCACAAGGGAGACACTTCTTGAACTTTGTCTCTATGGAGCAACTGAAGATGCTGACAGAACAGGGACTCACTCAGAGCCTGGCAAATTTATCTTTGACCAAAAATCCCACACTGTGGCTATCAGACACACAGCCCAATGTATTGTTGGCTGAGTCTGTGCTAATACATGCGACAGGTCATCATCACCTGTACTATATCCTAAACTTTAATCAGTCAGATTTCTGATTTAGGTGGTTCTCATTTTCCCCTGTATTTGGCAAACTCATGTGAGCCTCTCCCACAGAGGAATATTCCTGATCTTCCTGAGATACATTTTTCTTGATATAACCAAATAGGGTTCTTAAAAAGTCCCTCTGATAATTTTCTGTCGATTATCGAGAGAGATGATTATTTTGGGAAGAAGATCCAAAAGTCAGATCAGTATAGAGTATTCCAAAAGCTATCACACCAAGTGATTATAGCACAGCATTGAGGCACTTGCATTGAGAAACGTCCTTTTGGGGTGCAGGCTATCACAGGAAAAGCTGGATATTCTTAGGGATGCTTCATAGCATGTCAATAGATAAATAATCATTTATTAAACTTTCTCAGATGCCATCTCCTTGATATAAGCAAATAGAATTATTAAAGGCTTCCTTTAATTTTCTGTCTGTTGCAAGATAGGATAATAAAGTACACAAAACTCTAATTGCTGCCACATCATATGATTAGTGCACAGCATCGAGATACTTGCACTTTACGAATTATCTGTTCCTTCTGCCTTTCAGGGTTCTGTGGAGCAGATTACCGTGGGAAGGAATTTGTAACATGTTACCTGCAGAACTACTTGGCAAGCCAACACAGTCCTAGGCTTGAGCTGCTTATCACTGGATATCATCCCGCAACCACCGTCAAAGTCACAGTGAACAAATCTTCATTTCAGAAAACGGTTTTAGTCTATGAGAAACAGACAGTGTCTGTTGTGGTCCCGGCCTCTTCGGAGTTGACGGGGAACAATATCTTTGATGGGGTTGTCAGGATCCAAGCTGACAAAGATATCTTAGTCTTTTCCTACAACTACAAGCTTACGTCAAGTGCTGCCACAGTCGTGTACCCAGTTCATCAGCTGGGCACACAATATTATGTGGTAACCCCAGAAGGGCATCTCTCAAACACTTTCAAGGAATTTGCAGTTGTAGCCTATCAGTTTCCCACTCAAGTCACTATTCACCTGAAAGGGGCCGTGACATTCCAAGGGAAGGTTTATGCTGCAGGGAGCAGGCTTGTTGTGGACCTCAAAGCCTTCCAAGCAATTCAGCTGCAAAGCTCAGTTGATTTGTCTGGCAGCAAGGTTGAATCAGATTCGCCCGTGGCTGTTTTGAGTGGGCACAGCTGTGCCATACAGTTCTCAGAATGTGACCATGTCGTTGAGCAGCTCTTGCCTGTTTCCAGCTGGGGCACCACCTTCATAGTTCCTCCACTGTCTTTTCAACCTAGAATAGACATTGTGTATGTCATTGCTTCCCAAAATACTTTGATCCAATACCAGTCTGGGGTCAACCAAGGCTCCCGTCGTGCAGTGGCTGGAGAAATCATGCGGTTTGAGAAGCAGCCCTCTCAGGTCCTTTCCTTCTCTGCTGATGTAGGAATCCAGGTCCTTTTTTTCTACACTGGTACCAATAATGGAAATTGCCAGTACGATCCATTCCTCATCAATGTTCCAGCCTTAACAAGCTATTGCACGTCATATCACATTGATGGGATTAGGGACTTTGATAATTTTGCTGTCATCATGGCCAAAACCTCAGTTTCTGGTGGGATCACATTGGAGAAAAAAGCCATTACCAATGTTGAATGGGCACCAGTCCCTGGAACAGAACATTCATTTGCTCTACTCAGCTTGGGCAAAGAAGCCAGTGCCCTCTCTGTAGAACATCCCACCACTCCTTTTGGGCTCTTCATCCTTGGAGGTGCAAAAAGCAATGGTTATGGCTCCGTGGCCATTTGCTCTTGTGGTAAGTATCCAGATCTGTGCATATGGTTTAAGGGGGGTTTTTTTGCTACAAATGAGACGTTAGACTATATAATTATAATTTGTTACATCTTAATGAATATCCCCATCCTTATTTGTGGTTTCTTCCACTTCCAATATTTTCATCTTTTTGCCTTCCAGCATTGGATGCTGTGTTTTAACATTACTGTCTGCTCATTTGTAGATTGTGAAAGAAAGTGGCCCCTTATGAGCGGTAACTGGAGGACCACAGTAGATCTCAATGGACATTGGAATGGAACTTTAGCTGCCACTATTTCAGTGTCCTAGTTTCCAGTATACGTTCCATATATAGAATAAAGGACTGTAAAATGGTCTAATTTGATGAATTTTGATTTTCTGCCTCCCACTCTCAAATCTGCCCCCTTTTGTCACAGGTTCCATCTCCTTGCCTGTGTCCTCAAGCCTCTTCTTCATTTGTCTCCTCTTTCTAACTCCGTTACCTAATCTGTACCATCCCTGCAGCCATCTTGTATTTCCCTGCTCCTCATGTTTCACTGTCTCCCATGGCCTCTTTCTGCCCCTCAGGCTCTCTGAGAAACCTACTCTCCACGTGGATCTTAATTCCAGTGTACTCACAGCTTTCCTTTCTTCCTGAGAAGGCAAATTTAAACCATATTGATTGCCTTATTGCCTGAGCAATCAGAATGTCCATAAGGCAACCAGATAAGTGGCTATTCAGAAGCCTGTTTCCCTTGTTTTGTCTGTCTGCAGCATCCTCCCCTAGTTACTAATGATGCTTGCTTTTGCAATGACACCACCATTGTTCTGTTCCAGACAAACCAGTGTCTCCGTGCAGCTTGATCCAGTGCAGGAAGAAGGAGAAGTGTGAAATCATAGGAGGTGATCCAGTGTGTGTGCCAGAGTCTGAATCCAACTGCTGGGCCCAAGGAGATCCTCATTATCACACCTTCGATGGGAAGAAATTTGACTTCATGGGCACCTGTACCTACACTATTGCCAAGACTTGCGGCTCGGATGCCACTCTTCCTTCCTTCAGTGTTGAAGCCAAGAATGAGAACAGGGGAGGAAATACTCGTGTTTCGTACATTGGCTCTGTGACAGTCACAGTCTATAACACCATCATCAAGGTGGTCAGAAATGAGAAAGGCTTTGTGAGGGTGAGGATGAAAGAAATATTTCTATTTCTTTAAAAAAGCAACCTATTTTCCCCAAGAGTCCATCAGAATCTACTCTGCTTGCTTCTTGTCTTGTCTTGTAATGCAGGCACGTGGAACAGAAGATCTGGCAAAGTCTCCCTGCCCCAGTTTGCTAACCTGGACTGATCTCTGGCCACCACCCCTGCTCCCTCTTTCTGCACCTCCCCCCACCAGCCAGTGCCCCACTTTTTTAGCGTTTGAGGAGGAGCTGTTTTCATTTTATGCCATACCTACTTTGCACTTGGCTGTATCCGCCTGCCATTGGGCACTGGGAACGATAGTACAGCCCAAATAGCTGAGGCTTAGGGGGCTTCTCGCCATTTTTAATTTAAACAAGTTCTCCCAAAATAAGAGCGGTAGTGAGACAGAATTAGCTACAAGCCTAGATGGCTCAGTAAACTGATCTGGTGAGATGCCATCTTTGGGATCAATGATCCAGTGAGTGCCCAGGAGCAGCACCTACCTCTGCTTGGTCCTGTTCTGTCACTTAGCTCATGAGATCTTTTTTTGCAGGGGAGGGGGGAGGGATCTGGATTACAGGGTTCCAGATATTTGCCTGGCAATCCACTCTAGTGACTGCATTTTCAATTATTCCTTCTTGCACTGTACTTTCCAGCCACAGGTCTGCAGTTAAAAGCTCTGTGCCCAAGTGTTACTTTTTCTTTTTCTTTTGCCCTGGAACTTCCCCTGGGAAAACCTGTTTTTTACCACTGAATCAAAAAGCAATTGACAGAAAACTTGCTTTTCATTTGCTCTGATTCGGCAGTAAAATGTCGAATCAGAGCCAAGGAAAGTGTGTGTGTTGGTCTTTTTCATATACGTTCCTATTTTACATCCATCTCATTCAGCAGGCTATATGATGTAACAAACCCAAGAGGTTGTATCCAACCAATTTCTACTCTGGGCACACCCACTGAAATTAATGGACCCAAGTTAGTGCATTAATTTCAACAGGTCTGCTCTGAGTCTGACTGACATTGAATACAATCTACAGTCTTGTCCTGCTGTTTGTTGCATCTGAGTTTTCTCTTGCAGGTGGACAACCTGCGGTTCCGCCTGCCCATCTCCCTCCATGAAGGAAAACTCCGTCTCTACCAGAGTGGGAGCTCTGTCTTCATTGAGACAGATTTCCCCCTGAAGGTCTCCTATGACTGGAACACCTACCTGGTGGTGAAGCTCTCCAGCAGCTTTTATGAAAATGTCTGCGGACTTTGTGGCAACTACAATGGAGACCCCGCTGATGACTTCAGCAAACCCGATGGGGCCTTGGCTCCCAACCCCAATGAGTTTGGAAAGAGCTGGAAAGTAGACGATGGCGACAGGTTGTGTTGGGATGATTGCCATGGGGAATGCAAAACCTGCTCCCCAGAAATGGCCAAGAAGTATGAAGGTGAACCATTCTGTGGCTGGCTCATCAAAGGAGAAGATGGCCCATTCAGCAAGTGTCATTCTGTGATCGACCCCAACCCCTATCTGGGGAACTGTGTCTATGACCTCTGCTTGAATGATGGGCTGAAGGAGCTTCTTTGTGATGCGCTGAATACCTACGCAGTTGCTTGCCAGGAAAAGGGAGTTGCTATATCTGAATGGAGGATCCGCACTGGTTGCGGTGAGTGTTCCTGGGTGCTGAGTAGAGCACAGCAGATTTTATTTTCATTATTTGGCTTAAAAATTATGTTCTCCCTTATGTCATGAGGTACATAATGTCAAGCCAGGGCATTTCATGTTCTGCAGATCTCTGTACGAAGACTTTTTCACTGAGCCTAGCATTCACTATTAAGGAAGATTCTTGTCACCACTATGACAGAGAGAGATGATTTGAAGGGACTCTAGGAATAGAGTGTGACAACAGAGGCAGAATCTCTATAGGTTTTTTTTATTAAAAAAATCAGATCAATGTAACAGCTGAATAGGGATGGGCTAGGAAGGCAAATGGTAGATGCATTTTTTCACCTGTATTGAACACTTCAAGGCGAGAATTGCATATGAGGTTATCCTGTTTTATTTCTGCAGTGCTCTAGCAGGGAGTTTAGGCTAGCAGAATCTAGAACACCTTGCTTCTGGCCCGCACTGTCTTCTAAGCTTTTAATCTTGTGCTATTGATAAGCATCTTGTCTCTTTTGACAGGTGTATCCTGCCCCGAGAACAGCCATTATGAGCTCTGTGGGTCTCCATGTCCTGCCACCTGCAATGACCAAGCTGGGCCCAAGAATTGCTCCTCGATGTGTTGCGTGGAAGGCTGCCAATGTAATGAGGGCTTTGTGTTGGATGCTGGGAAATGCATCCCCAAGTCTGCCTGTGGGTGTGTGTTTGAGGGGAAGCACTTGCTTCCCGGAGAGCACTTCTGGGGAGACAAGACATGTACGAAAAGGTGCTTCTGTGACCCACAGACAAGACAAGTGAACTGTCAGGCAGTGAGCTGCGGAAAGGGAACGGAGTGTAGGATCGAGGGTGGCATCCAGAACTGCTACCCAACCAATTTTGGCAACTGCTCTGCCTCTGGCGACCCGCACTACATTAGCTTTGATGGCCGGAAGTTTGACTTCCAGGGCACCTGCGTGTATCAGTTGACTGGGCTGTGTGAGAAGAGGGAAGACCTAGTCGATTTCCAGGTCCTCGTCGAAAATGACCAGCGAGGCGGCCAGTCTGTGTCCTATACCCGGACTGTAGAGGTGAAAGTTTATGGGGCATCCATTGTGATGAGCAGAGGGAACCCTGCAAAAGTCATGGTGAGTTTATCATAGAGGTGGGGAACCAAATGCAGGAGCGGAGGAAGGGGTGTGTGATGGGTGCAGACCATCCCAGGTGTCACCACTGAGAGGGGTGACAAAATGCTGGGCGGCACTCATCATGGGGTCTGCAGCGCACCTGAGCCATGTGTCTCTCCTGGGAGAGTCTCAGTGGCTTGGGCATGCGCAGGCTGCCCAAACGGTCTGCCTGCTGCCTCCCCCCCAGCTGTATGGCAGCTGAGTGGGAGGAGGCGGGCAGATTCCAGAGGCCCCGTGGTACACGCCACCCCTATGGGTGGCTCGCCCTGCCCCTGGGCGTGCCACCCCAGGTGCCCAGGCGGCTTCCCCACCACTGACCATCTCCCCAAGGCATCTCCTTGCTACACTGGCCTTGCTTTGTACCCTCCTTGCATGACTTGAATGTGTCCTTTGAACCCTGATTATGCTTGCCTGGAAGAAAGATAGAGAGGCATATATGATTATGCGTGAAACTAGCCTACTGTACATAAGTAAAATTAGCCTTCATTGCTCTGCCCACTTTTGCTTCTGACCCCTCTCACCAGTGGCATGTGGTCCCCAGGAAGTTGCCCGGAAGGGAATGTGGTTCTCAACCTGAAAAAAGTTCCCCACTCCTCATCTGGAACATCACAGTTGGAAACTACTGAGAACAGGGGAGGGGATTATTCTGATAATGAAGGTACCTGGCATGGTTCCTTTCCTCTCCATGGCTAGTGCCCAGAAGAAAGATGAAGTGGGCTGCCTTGTGTCCATTTTCCATAGGTTTTGAAAAGAGGCCATTCTGTGATCATATGAAATCTATTTTCCAGTAGTATTATTATTATCATTTTAAAGGGAAACTTTACTTCAATAATCTAGTACAGAGGGTTATCCTTTTTTGGGTTGCAGAGGTGAGAGGAACAAAACAGGCAGGGGCAAATTTCCCAGATTGTGTGTTACCAGACGTTTCACCCCTAACAGAAAGCTAAGATCAGCAAGTGAATTCTTTGTGGTACTTGATACCTAACAGAGAATTTTAAAAGAGTTAAATTTCCCCTCCTTCCTGCAAATGGTAAGTTGCTGCTGATCTCTGTGCTCTGGAGCAGCCTTGCTTAGTCTTATGCATCCCAAGTGTTACTGGTCTCCCAACTTCCATCAGTCCTGGCCAGCACAGCCAAGGAACAGGGATAATGGGAGTTGTAGTCCAAAGTACCTGGAGAGCACCAGGTTGGGGAAACATCATGGATTACAAAGGCACTTCTGAAATGCCCCTTTTTTTGAATGGGCTCTAGGTGAACGACTTGCTGACCAACCTTCCCTACAGCATCGACATCAACAGAATCTCCGTATACAGGAAAGGGCAAGGGGCAGTGGTCCAGACAGACTTCCAACTGACTGTCATCTTTGATGGGATCAGCCGGGTCACTGTGTCTGTGCCCAGCAGCTACCGTGGTGCCCTGTGTGGTCTCTGTGGGAACTTCAATGGCAACAAGCAGGACGATTTGACCATGAAAGATGGCACAGTGGCTCCGCACCCATCAGACTTTGGTCAGAGCTGGAAAGTGCGGGAGGTGCCAGGCTGCAGCAAAGGGGGCACGGAAGAATGCCCTGCTCTGTCAGCCATTGAGAAGAATCAACGGAACCTCAACAAGGAGTGTGGGCTCATCCTAGCCAAGAGTGGCCCCTTCAGAGAATGTCACAGCAAAGTGGATCCAGAAGGATACTTCCAAGATTGTGTGTACGATTATTGTTTCTTTGATGGCCAACAAGCTGTGATCTGCCAGGTCATTGCCAGCTATGCTGCAGCGTGCCAGGAAGCTGGGGTAACCATCTATCCTTGGAGATCGGACAACTTCTGCAGTAAGTGCTAATGCTGTGAGCTGTTTTCTGAAATTCCTCAGATTTTCAGAGTTACAGAGAACATGGTAATCAATCTAAAATGACATGCAAATATATCAATGCTTATTTTTCTTCTTAAAGTATATATTCAGATTTTGTGTCTGTACCATTTCAGGTAAAACTTCATGTAAAACTTTTCCCAGCTGAGAAAGTCTCATTGTCCCCTCCCCCAAGTGATGGGAAGACCTGCCCACTCTCTCAGTTTCTTAGTTTTTCTAATTTGAAATTCAGCTGTCCACATTTCAGAAGGAATCTGCAATTTTTGAAAGCGGGGGAGAAATCCCCATTAAAATTTGTCAGCATTTTAGTACCAATTTCTACTAACGAACACATTTTTGCAAGTAATTTCCCCATAGCTTTGGTATGCTATTTTCACTAAAATTTTCATTTTAATGGCCATTTCCCACCAAATATAGGCATTTTTTGGAAATACTAGTTGGTTGGAGAATTGCACTGCGATTTTGGAAATTATGAATTAAGCAGTTTCATCTTTAAATGAGAGCCGAATTGTATTTCTCCCACATCCCTATTTTCTCCCAGTCTAGGCATTCAGTTCTTGTATGATCAGAGGCAAAGAAAGATGGGACTTCTGTAAATCAGGTGGGGTGTGTGCAGTGTAAACACACACACACACACACACACACACACACACACCAGGCTACCATTGAAAAGTGGGGATTCCAAACAGGTGTAGGAATAGGTCAAAGACCAGCTCTCGGTTGGAAAGCTGTCCATGGCATATTTGGGAATCATGAGTGGAAGAGTGCTGTTGTGTTCATGTCCTACTTGTGGACTTTATGTAGGTATCTGGTTGAGAGCAGAATGCTAGACTAGATAGGCCTTTCATGCGATCCAGTAGAACTTTCCTTATGCTTATAATAACCCCTTTCAGCATGCCATCCTAGAACATCGTGGCCCTTTCCTCCCTCTCAATGTTTCTTTCTACTGGTTCCGATTGACAGGTCTTTCCTGCGCTCCGAATAGCCACTACGAGCTCTGTGCGAGAGGTTGTGCTCAGACCTGTGGCAGCTTTTACACTACAGTCCCTTGTTCGGCTACGTGCCACGAAGACTGTGTGTGCGACGAGGGCTTTTTGCTGAGCGGTGATCAATGTGTGCCCACGTCCCGGTGCGGCTGTCACTACCAAGGCCACTACTACCCAGCAGGAGAGACTTTCTATCCAACCTGTCAGGAGCGTTGCATGTGCCATGCTGGGGGGAGTATTGGGTGTGTCTCATTCTCCTGTGGCCCCAATCAGGAATGCCAGTTGTCAGATGGTGTCCGGAAATGTTACCCTGTGGGCAATGCTACCTGTTCTGGTTCGGGTGACCCTCACTATCTCTCCTTCGATGGACGGGCCTTTGACTTCCAAGGCACCTGCACCTATACCTTGGCTACGGTTAACACAGGCAACCGGCTCTTGAGATCCTTTACTGTCAACGTGGAAAACGAGGCCTGGGGGAATGGGAAGGTGTCCGTTACCAAGATGGTTTCTGTCTCAGTCTACGGCATTACACTTACATTGCTGCAGAACAAGCAAGGTCAAGTGATGGTGAGTCCAAGCTATAAGGAAAGGGCAGCTGGATGGTCATCTGTCATGGATGCTTTAGTTAAGATTCCTGCATTTCAGGGGGTTGGACTAGATGACCCACAGGGTCCCTTGCAACTCTAAAATTCTGTGATTTTTAGCCATTCATCTTTTTTTCTCTCTCATTAAGACATTGTCTTTGCTCAGTCGTTTTATTCGTCCTAAATGAATCTGAGAATTTATGTTTGGTTTGTCTTTCTTCCAGCCCTAATTTCAGTTTTTCCAAATTTCCACCTTTTTTTTTAAAAAAAAAGAGAGTCCTGAAAATTTGTCTACATTTTAGTGCAATTTTTATTGCACATTTATCTTAATCTACTGAAATTAGTGTGCAGTTTTGCCTAATATATACACTGTGGCAAGTAATATTTCCTACTTCAGTGCATTCTTATATGTCAGGGGTCAGCAAGGTTTACCTCGCCTGGGCTGGTTCACTCCAGCGGAGATCCCTCCGTGGGACGGCGCTTGCGCGCATGAGTGTGCACGGCCACGATTTCCAGTGTTTGCATCTGTGCAGATGCGATTTCCAGCATCTGAGCATGCACAGACATGATTTCCGGTGCCTCGGAAGTGAGTCACCGCGCTGCGCTGGTTTAGTGCAACACGAGGGGACTCGCTGAGCAGGCAGCTCAGTTTGGGGGCAGCTTGTGGGCCGGTTAAATGACCCCTGTGGGTCGCTTGTGGCCCATGGGCCTCAGGTTGCCTACCCCTGCTATATGTCATTTTCACTAATATATGCATTTTTATACAAACATTACTTTGCTACTGTATGTGCAATTTTTGTACATGTTACTTGGCCAGAGAACTGTATTGCAAAATTCAGAGAATTCCAAGGATAGTGGTGTTTTGGTTCTCATATGGTTTCAGAAAACGTAAATTCACTTTTAAATGCAAACCGAATCAAATTTCTCCCCCATTCCTATCTGGAGGTTGAGAAGGGTGACAGCAATGAGGGTGGGGTGAGGGCAGAGCTAGCATCCTCAAGCACACACACTCTTCCTCACATGCCCTTTTCAGCACACCTGTTTCAGGTTATCATCACTGAGAGGGCTAGGATAAAATATGTTCCTCCTAGGAGCTTTATGGTTATCTTTCCACTGCGACCTCAAAAAACCAAGCCTTCTCAAACAGGAAATCCTTCTTGCAGGTGAATGGCTTGATCTATACCGTCCCTATATCCTTGTCTGCTGGGCGGATCAGAGCCTATCAACACGGCACAAAAATCCTGATAGAAACTGACTTTGGTCTCATTGTGAGCTACGACCTAGTTTACCGTGTGACAGTCACAGTCCCAAGTACTTACCAGAGTGAGATGCGAGGCCTCTGTGGGAACTACAACGGGCAGAAGGATGACGACTTCCTGCTACCCGATGGGAGCACAACTTCCAATGCAGGTGACTTTGGTGCTTCCTGGAAGGTTCCAGTCCATGGGGCAGCTGGATCTTGCTCAGATGGATGCTCTGGAAACAGCTGCCCAGTCTGCGATGAAAGGAAGAAGGAGATCTTCAAACAGCGCCACTACTGTGGGATTCTCACTGCGTCTGATGGCCCCTTCAGTGCTTGCCATGGAAAGGTTGATGCCAACATATACTTCAGCGACTGCATCTATGACCTGTGCATGGGCAATGGGGACAGCCAGGTCTTGTGCAACAGCATCCAGAGCTACGTATCTGCCTGCCAAGCGACTGGGGTCTCTGTCGAGCCTTGGAGGAGCCCTTGCTTCTGTCGTAAGTACTGGGGATTGAACATTCATGGGGACGTGAAATGGGAGAAGAGAAATGGGAGCAGAATCTGAACTGGTTCCATGTCACTTTCGGGCTAAACTAGAGGGGCGTGCTCATTTGTAAAGCCCTAAAATGTCTCAGGCTCTGCAAAGGCTGAATTCATTTGACTTTTCAAATCACATGCGATCACCCTCTTGACTATTTCTGACACACCAGCTACGAAATTGTTTGCAATCAGTTCCTGCCAGAGCCAGAAGTCTAAGGTAGAGGTGGGGGAACATTTTTCAGTCCTGGGACCATGTTTCCTTCTTGGTAACCTTTTTGGGTCCATATGCCAATAGTGAGCATAGCCAGAGCAAAAATGGGTGGAGCAATTGATGTTATTTGTTATCTTTGTACAGTGGGCCAGTATCTACCCCCAATCTTTTATACCCCTCTCTATCCTCTATCCAGGAAATTAAGAAGCATGATCAGAGTTCAAAGATACATTCTAGCCAGGAAAAAGAACTACTCCCTCTTTTGGATTTCACATGCTGTCTTTCACAACCATTTTAAGAAGCACCGGGGTTCTTTTGGTCTAATATCTTTTTTTCTATTCCAATTTAGCTATGCGCTGCCCTGCCAACAGTCACTATGAGATCTGTGCCCAGCTCTGCCCCACCTCCTGTGCCAAGATCACAGACACTGCACCCTGTCCAAAGACTTGTGCTGAGGGCTGCCAGTGTAATGATGGTTTCTTCTTTGATGGTGTTGGCTGTGTCCCCGCAAAAGACTGTGGATGCATAAAGAATGGACGCTACTACAAGGTAGATGGTCTTCTGAACCTGATTTTCCTCTCCTCCTTTTAAAATTAAACTACATTTTTTATTTTTACTGTCCCAAATCATTATGGATCAAGTTGTTTGTTGTTTTTATCCGCTTTTACCTCTGTGTTTGCTCAGTTTCACATTCTTTCGAATCACAAGTCACAAGCTGTTGTGATAATTTCTAGGACTTAGGGAATTTCACAGCCTTTGAACAATTGAGTCAACTTGTGTGTCTTGAGGTGTGGTTTTCTTTTGTAATCTGGAAGTAACAAAGTCCTAACAAATGAACTGTCCTTGTTATGAGGAGGTGCAGCAAGTGGCAGAATAATGAATTTTTAAATGTAAGGATATGGCAGAATTACTAACGCCATGTTTATATATGAAACAGAAGAGCCCATACCTAAAGCCTATCTAATCCAGCATTCTGTTCTCAGTACAAAAGCTAATAATAATAATAATAATAATAATAATAATGTTATTATTTATACCCCACCCATCTGGCTGGATTGCCCTAGCCACTCTGAGCAGCTTCCAACACACATAAATGTCTATGGGGCGCCTGAAATCAGGGCATGAGCTCAATAGCCCTCTTCCTTATTGCAGAGTGGCTGAGGAAACCCAGTCAGATGGGCGGGGTATAAATAATAACATATTATTATTATTATTATTATTATTATTATTATTATTATTACAGTAGTACCTTGGTTTACGAACTTAATCTGTTCTGGAAATCCATTCTTAAACCAATACCATTATTAAACTGAAGCTCGCTTTCCCTAATTCAGCCTCCCCGCCGATGCCCTTCCACCGTTCAGCTTCCGTTCTTAGACTGAGGTAAAGTTCTCAAACCAAGACACTATTTCCAATTTTGCAGAGTTTGTAAACAAAATCGTTCTTAAATAGGACTGTTCTTAAACCGAGGTACCACTGTATTATTATTATTATTATTAATTCAGTAAGTTACAGGACCTTGTTTATCTCAGCACTCAACTCTGCAAGGCCAATGTCATTCTGTTCATGAAGGATAAAGCTGTCAGTAGTTTCTAGCCATCACTGTCTGCATTGTATGCGTCTGAAATACCAGTAACTGGGAATCACACACAGGGAAAGTGCTGTTGCCCTCGTATTCTGCTCATGGGCTTCCTGTAGTCATCCCGTTGGCCACTGTGAAAACAAGATGCTGGATGCGATAGGCCTTTCATCTTGATCCATCAGAGTCTGTCTTATGTTCTTGAAGCACAGAAGCAACGAGTGCCAGAAGGGAGTCTTTTAAGGTTACAAAGCATTTTCTAAACTTTGCCATCAACAATCCTTCTTTCCTAGTGACCTAGTGACTTCCATGGCAACACTAGGGCTCTCCCAGTTTGTTTTGGGCCCCACTCATCAAGCAGGCCACACGCTAGATCTGATCTTTGGGGCTGGCATAGATGTGATCATGCTCCCCGCTGTGGAAGTGCCATGGTCTGATCACTACGCTCTGAAAGCCAAGATTGACTTCCCGCTCCTCCCCAGCTCAGGTGGCGAACCTATTTGGGCTCGTCCACGAAAACTGATGGATCCTGATAGATTCCGACAAGCCATGCGGAACCCTGCTCCTCCTGGTGACTCATTAGATAACCTTGTTGAGGACTGGAATAACCGGCTCTTGGCAGCCATTGATGAGATCGCGCCTAAGTGCCCTCTGCGACCCCGTTGAAACCGGGCCCCTTGGTTTACTGAGGAGCTCCGGAAAATGAAGCAGGATCTCAGATGGCTAGAGCGAGTATGGCGACGGACTCGTGACGGAGCCTCAAGAACATCTTATAGGACGCTTAGGAAAGCCTATGAAATGGCTATGAAAGCTGCTAAGAAATCTTACTTTGCAGCTTCCATTGCATCCGCTAGCTCTCGCCCGGCACAACTTTTTAGAATAATTAGGTCAATAACGTCCTTAGGAGGGCAACCAAATTTAAGCACAAATTAGACCCACAGCTGTGAAGCATTCACGAGCTTTTTTTGCGGAGAAAGTCCTGTTGCTCTGCCGTGACCTCCCTGCCAATTTAGATACAGTGACTGAACTGGAGGCCCCTCGACTGACTTTAGGTCCAGTGTTGGACCATTTCAATTGGATACTCCCTACTGATGTGGATAGATTCCTCCAAGTTGGTAGGCCCACCACCTGCCTCCTTGATCCGTGCCCGTCTTGGCTGATTAGGGAGTGTCCAGATGTTGCGCGGACCCCCCTGGTTGAAATTATCAATTTGTCCCTTGACACGGGGACATTCCCAGGGGAACTGAAGGAAGCAGTGGTGTGTCCACTCTTAAAGAAAACTTCATTAGATCCCTTAGACCTATCCAATTACCGCCCAGTTTCAAATCTTCCATAGCTGGGTAAGGTAATTGAGAGAGCGGTTGCTGAACAGCTTGGTAGGTTTCTGGAGGAAACATCGGCATTAGATCCATTTCAGTACGGTTTCCGTCCTGGTTTTGGGACGGAAACGGCTCTGGTTGCCCTAACAGATGATCTCCGTAGACAACTGGATCAAGGCGGGTCAGGACTGCTGATCCTTTTAGATTTGTCAGCAGCCTTTGACATGGTCGATCATGATCTTCTGGACCACTGCCTCGCAGACGTGGGGATACAGGGCATAGCCCGTAACTGGTTGTGCTCTTTTATCTCTGGTCGGGGACAGAGGGTGGCACTAGGGAGGGAAATGTCATCGCGCCACTCCTTGGTGTGTGGAGTGCCGCAGGGCGCAATTCTCTCCCCGATGCTTTTTAAAATTTTTGTGCGCCCCCTTGCCCAGATTATCCAGAGCTTTGGGCTGGGCTGTCACCAATATGCTGATGACACTCAGTTCTATCTGCTGATGGATGGCCACACCGACTCGGCCCTGAACACACTGACCAGATGCTTGGAAGCTGTGGCTGGATGGTTTCGTGGGAGCCGATTGAAACTAAATCCTTCGAAGACAGAGGTCCTCTGGCTAGGTCGGGATGGCATGGGGATGAGGGACCAACTCCCTTCTCTTGCGGGGGCCCAATTAGTGCCATTGCCTTCCGTTAAGAGTTTGGGTGTAATCCTTGACGCCTCCCTTTCAATAGAGGCGCAAGTTACAGCAACAGCCAAGGCAACATTTTTCCACCTTCGCCGCATCAAGCAGTTGGTCCCTTACCTTTCCCGCCCCAACCTGGCCACAGTGATCCATGCGACGGTCATCTCCAGGCTTGACTACTGTAATTTGCTCTACGCGGGGCTGCCCTTGAAGCTGTCCCAGAAACTCCAGCGGGTACAGAATGCTGCAGCGAGGCTCCTCACGGGGTCTCTGCCATGGGAGCATATTCACCCAGTGCTTTTCAAGCTGCACTGGCTCCCGGTGGAGTACAGGGTCAGATTTAAGGTGCTGCTTTTGACCTTTAAAGCGCTTCACAGCCTAGGACCCTCATACCCACGGGACCGCCTCTCCTGGTATGCCCCACAGAGAGCCTCATGGTCCATAAATAACAACACCATAGTGGTCCCAGGCCCTAAGGAAGTTAGATTGGCTTCAACCAGAGCCAGGGCCTTTTCAACTCTGGCTCCGGCCTGGTGGAACGCTCTGCCTCATGAGACCAGGGCCCTGCAGGATCTGATTTCTTTCCGCAGGGCCTGTAAGACAGAGTTGTTCTGCCTGGCCTTTGGCTTGGAGCCAATTTGATTCCCTCCCTCCCTCTCTTTCTTTCTTCTTTTCCTTCTCCTCCTGCAATGAGGCTACATTTTAATATTTTAATGTTCCATTATTTTAATGTATTTTATTTTTGTTTTTAAGTTGTAATCATTCATCTTGTTTTTATTATTGCTTGTAAGCCGCTCTGAGCCCGGCCTTGGCTGGGGAGGGCGGGGTATAAATAGAAAATTTATTATTATTATTATTATTATTATTATTATTATTATTATTATTTCCTTCCAAGAAAAAAAAAATCCATAAAAACAAGCAAATGAGAATAAGAAGCTTTCCATGTGAAAAACACTTAGCCCTTTCTCTAAAATGGAGTCCAGCTCCTCTGATGTTCATTCCATTCGCAATTAGGAATGGGCTGCAGCTCAGTGGCACAGCATCTGCCTTGCGTGAAGAAGGGCTTGGGTCTAATCCTGGCTGGCATCTCTAGGTAGGGAGAGACTCTTTGTCTAAAACCCTGGAGAGTCTTTGCTAGTCAGTGTACACAATACTGAACTAGGTGGACCAGTTACCTGATTCAGTAGGATGCAAAGCTTTGAAGGAATTGGCTACATCTCACCTTGTTATTTGTATGTGTGCTGTCACCTACACAACTGACCCAGAATATTTTGCTACTGGAGGGAAAGGTCAATATGGCACCCCTTCCCATTCCACATACAGAAGGCAACCGGACTTGTGCGTCAATTGTAATGCAACACCAGTGATGGGATAGTATCTTCTACCAGCCCTGGTGACCCGACCAATTAATGGATTTCTCCATGAAATGTGACACCTGTTAATGTTTTCATGCCATCATTTGTTGCTTCAGAGCATTTAGAAGCTGACATGTATTCGTAAATAATGTTATTGACTTCAGGTCCAGTTGCAACAGAGAACCATATTCAGAACTCTTGGCTGGATGCTATTTGCCACCTTCACCTACACCTCTAGAGCAGATCTGATTCTGCCCTAATTCTGTTGTTGCTATATTATATTGTTTTCCAAATTTCCCACCAGCCCAATGAGAAGGTTCTGCTGAATGCATGCCAGGAGATCTGCCACTGCATCCCAGGCCTGGGAGTGATTTGTGAGGCCCACAGCTGTGCTGCCGATGAGATGTGCAAGATCCAAGATGGAGTCATGGGTTGCATTAATAAGGGTAAGGAGAGATTAATGAAAGGATGAGATGAGGAAACCGTGACCCTTCAAGGTGACGTCATTGTCCCTGACCATTGACTAGGGCACGGAGGTGCTTGTAATATGATTCCCTTTGTCTTTAATATGGTCCTGCTGCCCAGGTAGTGGCTTTTGAAAGACATGGATAGCTCAGTTGGTTAGAGCATGGTGTTTATGATGCCAAAGTTGCAGGTTCTATCCCCGTATGGGACAGCTGCATATTCCTGCATTGCAGGGGGTTGGACTAGATGATCATTACGGTCTCTTCCAACTCTATGATTCTATGACTTATCCACACACACATCGCTATCCTCTACCCATACTCTCAAGAAGCATTTTCAGAGTTCAGGGACATATTCTAGCCCAATAAAACTAGGACAGGAAGTGGGGGTTATGTGTTACTCTTGCCTTTTTTGCTTTCCCCTATTGCCGTGAGGCCATCATGGTACTATCCAAGTGTTCTTGGACTACAGCTCCCATCAGTCCTGACCATCTGCCATATTGGCAGAGGCTGATGGGAACTGGAGGGCAACAGCATCTGGAAGGCACCGTACTGGCTACACGCAATTAGATATTCACCCTGAATTGCATCTAGCAATCACTCACATTTCGCCCCTTTCATTCCAGATCCGTGTAAATCCCTGAAGTGCCGAGAAAAAGAAACATGCAGGATTGTGAACGGCCAGGCCAAATGCATCCCTAACTTCTCAGGAATTTGCTGGGCCTGGGGGGACCCACACTACCAAACCTTTGACAAAAAGAAGTTTGATTTCCAGGGCACTTGTTCTTACACTATTGCCAAGTACTGTGGAAATGATGCTACGCTGGTGCCTTTCACTATCGATGAGAAGAACGACAACAGGGGCAACCAGGCTGTGTCCTACGTGCGTCTGACCAACATCTATGTCTATGGGTACAAGATCTCCATCCACAAACAGGAAACTGGAAGAATCCGGGTATGTCAAATAGTCAGGGTGGGATGACCCCACTGAGTGTAATGGAATTCATTCTGATATATAGCCAGAGCCCAAAAGTTTAAAGTAGCATTAGAGAGTAAGGGGGGAAAAGGGTATATACTAATGTCAGGATGGAGAAGAGAAACAAATGATTGCAGATCAGATTGCTATACCACTCTCAATAACTGAGGTAATGACCATCATGCTATTACATAACTAAAAGGCCCTCATTATCAAGGAGTCCTATCTCATTTTCCTTTTTTTGTATATAATTTTTGTTATATTTTCTGTTTTACAAATTAAAATACTCATTTTACATCCTTAAGATATCACTGACTTCCCTTCTTCTCTTTCCATGGTTCATTTTACATATCATAAATCCCTGCATACTTTACAAAAAACTATACCATTCAGTATTCCATTACTGCATCCAACAAAACCTATTTACACAGTTGAATTTATCTTAATGCTGCCAGGATGTCCTATCTCATTTTCCTGAGCTTGTGTCACTGTGGCGAGGGGCGAGACAGTGGCAGGGTTGGTTCAGTGCAAATGCATCTGCAGAATTGGCTCTGCTGGTGTGTTTGCCTCACTACATCCTCACTGCTGCCTTGCCTCTCCCCCTTTTGAAAAGCCGTAACAATGATGGTGATGGGAGCCAAGACTCCTTAAGTGGTAACAACACAATTCCTAACCATGTCTGCTGAGATACAAGTACAATTGAATCCAGTGGGACTTGCTGCCAAGTAAGTGAGGTTATAAGGCTAGGATCAACCTGGCTGTACCTGTTTCCTGAAGTTGTGACTACATGGGATTGTGTGGCACAATCTCCAAAAAGTCAAAGAAAACCAAAGGAATCATTCCTGTGTGTGTGTTGTCTTGCATTTCTGCCTCTAGCTGAATGACAACATTGTCAGCCTGCCACTGACTCTTGAATATGGCAAGATCAAACTGTACCAAAGTGGCACCAATGCTGTCCTGCAAACAGATTTCGGCCTCCAAGTGACGTACGATTGGAAATGGCACCTGGTGATCACTCTCCCCAGCAGCTACTATGGGACCATCTGTGGGCTGTGTGGAAACTTCAACCAAAACCCTGCAGATGACATGGTCTTTCCCAATGGCACCAAGGCTGCCTCCATCATAAGCTGGGCCAGCAGCTGGAAAGTCAAGGACCGGGACCCCTTTTGCTGGGATTACTGCCGAGGGAATTGCCCAACATGTGATGAGGGCAAGAGGGTGCTGTATGGAAAGGAAGAGTACTGTGGGCTGATCAGCAAAACCTCAGGGGGCCCCTTCAGAGAATGCCATTCCATAGTGAATCCAGATAACTTCTTTGACAGCTGCATTTATGACGTGTGTCTCAATGGAGGAGCCAAGAACATCCTTTGCCAGGCCTTGGAGGCCTATGCTAAGACCTGTAGGAAAGAGGGTGCCACCATATATGATTGGAGGACAGCCTCTGGCTGTGGTGAGTACTTATCCTTTATACACACAATGTATGTAATGACACCTATGGCTTAGAGCAGCAGTGATTATTAATAGTCCACAGGCCTTCAACTTCCAACCCTCCACAAATATCTGACGCCACACAAAGAGGCAGGGAAAGAAAGCCACAGTGCACAAGATAGCCCACTAAGCGCATGCTTTTTCATTGCTAAAAGCATAAACAAGAGGAAAACCTCAAATGAGATACCCTGTTTGCTTTGTAAATCAGTTTGTGGTTGAGAATAGCTGTATCTGAAGCAAACAAATCCATGAACTACATCACTCCTCTAGCAGCAGAGCTTCTTGAATCTCTTTGGCTATTGGAATGAATAGAAGCATGGCTGGACCAAGACATTTTGCTACCAGAGTCATAAGAAAACAAGGTCTAGCATCCTGCTTTCGCAGCAGCCAATCAGATGCCCATAGAAAATTCACAAGCAACCCATGAGTGCAACAGCACTCTCCCTACTTCAGAGTCCCAGCAAAGGGTATTCAGAGGCATTCTGTCTCCCACAGTGAAGGTAGAACATAGCAACCTATTCACCATGAATTTGTTTAATTCTATTATTGTTTAATCCATCTGACCACGTGGCTGCTGGACCTTATGTTACCCTGGGAAAAGGATAGTATATTTCATGTAAGTGCACTTTTAAACTCCCAGTGTTCCTGCTTCCACATACAATATCAGCAATAAGAGCTCTTGCGAAGTTGAGACTTCAGCATGTTTTATCAGTTCTTAAATTCCTGATGTTCTCCTCCTTACAGCCTTGCCGTGCCCTCAGAATAGCCACTATGAGTTCTGTGGCAATGCCTGCCCTGCCAGCTGCTCCGACCGCAATGCTCCCTCTTTCTGCATGCAGCCATGCGTGGAAGCCTGCCAGTGCAATGATGGCTACGTCCTCAGCGTCGACAAGTGTGTGCCTGTCGGGAGCTGTGGCTGCACCTACAATGGGCTCTACTACAAACCTGGAGAGGAGTTCTGGGCTGATGAGACCTGTGGTTTCCGCTGCACATGTGATCCCACCCTGGGCTTTGCAGTGTGCAAACCAGCTGGCTGCAAAGCTAGTGAGCAGTGCACTGTGGTCAATGGAGTCCGGGGCTGTTATCCCGTAAGCACTGCTACTTGCTCAGCAACTGGGGACCCTCACTATACGACCTTTGATGGGAAGAAATATGACTTCATGGGCACCTGTGTCTACCAGCTGGTTGGGCTCTGCTCTAAGGACCCGACTCTCAGGCCTTTCACTGTCAATGTGGAGAACAACAACCGAGGCAACCCAAAGGTGTCTTACACCAAAGTGGTGACATTGAAGGTCTATGATGTAACCGTGATTATGAGCCAGGAGCATCCACGCAGGATCCAGGTATTGACACAGGAAATTGATGTATGTATGTATGTATGTATGTATGTAGAGGTTCTTTGCGTCCTTTCAGGACCCCTAGGGAGCGTGGCTGAGGCTCTTGGAATAGTTTCTGTATCTTTGGACATTGTAGCTTTAACTACCTGGGCTCTTCTTATGCAGAGTATAGGCTACGTCACGTAGAGATGTTGCACAGTTACAATCATAATTCATTGTGGATTATATGCAGCTGATGGCCCACTGAGGGCTGTCAATTGCAGCTCCTGAAGATGGAACTAGGCAAAGGTGGTTTGTAGTCAGTGAGAGCAGGATCCCCAGCTGCTCAGCAACAGTGAGTTAACCTGCTTTTACTCTGAAAGAGTGCTTTAACAGTCCACCCCTATTCACAGAGAACTCTGAGTATAGGGGTTCCCTGACAACTTTCAGCAAACTCTGGCTTCCAGGATCCTATTGGAGAAGCCACAATTGTTTAATGTGCTATCGTACTGCTTGAAATGCATGGTGTGAATGTAGCCTTCCATTAGATATGTCTTTACGGTAACATTTTCTGTTGCATTACATTCCAGGTCAATGGCGTCTTTGTGAACCTGCCTTTCTACCATGAAGACAAGATAAAAGCTTACATCAGTGGGAATGAGGGTGTCATCAAGACTGATTTTGGCCTGACGGTAGCCTTTGACTGGAACACCAATGCCAAAGTCACTGTACCCAGTACATACGCCAATGCCGTTTGTGGCCTCTGTGGCAACAACAACTTGAACCCCAATGATGACTTGACCATGAAGGATGGGAGTCATGCATCCAGCATCTCCCAATTTACAGAAAGCTGGAAAGTCGGAGAGGCCCCTGGGTGCACACCGGGTTGCACCACCGATTGCCCGCCATGTGGAGATATGCAGAAAGAAACCTACAAGGGCGACCAGTACTGTGGCATCCTCATCAAAAAGGATGGGCCATTCTGGCGATGTCATGATGTCCTTGACCCAACACCCTACTTCACAGATTGTGTCTTTGACACCTGCCAGTATCATGGTCAGCATAAAATTATGTGTGATGCCATCAGCGTCTATGTGGCAGCATGTCAGGCTCTGGATGTTGAGATTGAAGAATGGAGATCAAACTCCTTCTGCAGTAAGTGTTGCCTCTCGAAGCTTCCATAACTCACGTCATCTATTGTTGACACTGACTGGCATTGGTTCTCTAGGATCTCAGCCAGGGACTTTCCCCAGTCATACCTGGGGCTGCTGGGGGTTGAACCAGCTGTTATTTGCATGAAAAGCACATGATCCACCACTGAGCTGCACTCCCTCCCCTAGTTCAACTTTAGGGATGTGCATGAGTTGAAGGGAAGTGCTGCATAAACTTGACATTCATCAAATTTTGAAATGTGAGGTTTGCAATTAGATTCTTTTCTCCCTAAATGTATTTCAGCATTCATCAGAGTATTTGAATAGGTACCAGATCATTGTATAAAGGCAAATAGTAACAGGATCCTCTCTCTTCCTCAGCAGAGACAAGGTCTTAACTCTTATGGTCTGTTATTCAATGTTAGTCATGCTCAGAGTACACCAGTTGAAATGAATGAACATGACTACCTTAGCTTTATTAATTTCAATGGCTCTATAATGAGTAAAACTTAATTGGATACAGCCCATAATGCTTAAGATTATTATTTTTTAAATACCCTTGGATTTTGAAAGACCAGTTGGAATCTTTTTGTTTAAGCCTCTTGACTTGTCAGCAACATCCATGACTTGATACATACAGGTCACATCAGAGTTAAGATTCCCCTGAAAAATTCAGTCAGAATCCAATCTGCATATAGCAATTTTGACATTAGATGTGAAGCATTTTGCATTTACTGATCTCCACATTCAGATTGAACATTTAAGTGTCAAATTCATTTCAACCTTGATAATTCAAGTAGCGGGGTTTCACATCTATCCAATTTTAAATGTTGATCCTGGAGAGGGGCAAGGAAGCAGTATCATTCTTAGTCTGAACCATCCAGGCATTTAAAATGCTGTAACATCTCTTAACAGGCTTTGTTTTGAATTTCTTCAGCAATTTCAAGTGCTGCAGGGCAAAGCGATATGATGATGATGATGATCAATGAGATACTTCTATATTCTCAAACTATTCCATTAATGGATTTAAATATGAATTCAGATGACAGCCTTCACTAAAAACTAACCAGTAGATGGCACTGCATAAATAGAATAGGCAAAACAGTGCGGCAGACCTCTTCCTGACCATGTCTCTGAAACAACCTCTGTCCTAGCTTGAAATTCTCCACAGTCTGTTTTTGTCCTTTCTTCCAGGCCCTGCCTGCTCACCCAACTCTTACTACGAGCTCTGCGGAAACGGCTGCCCTGCCACTTGTCATGGTCTCTCGGCTCCTGATTGCTGTGAGATGTCCTGCAAAGAAGGATGCTATTGCAATCCAGGGTTTATCTTGAGTGGGGACCAATGTGTCTCCATTGGCGATTGTGGCTGTGAGCACCAGGGCAACTACTACAAGAAGGGAGAAGTTTTCTACCCCGGTTCCTCTTGCCAGAAACGATGCCAATGTGCAGACAATGGAGTTGTCCAATGCCTGGACTTCTCCTGTGGGCCCCATGAGGAATGTAGGGTAAAGGATGGTGTCCACGGCTGTCATCCTGTAGGCTCTGGTACATGCAGTTTGGCCGCAGGCTTCCACTACCTAACTTTTGATGGACGGGCCTACGACTTCCAAGGAACCTGCACTTATACTTTAGCTAAAGTTGTCGGTGTGGGTTCTCAGCTGGCAAACTTCTCAGTGGTGGTGGAGAATGAAAAGTCTTTTACCAAGATGATTGTGGTCTCTTGTCATGGATATACCGTTGTCATTGAGAGGGCAATAAAGTGGAAAGTCAAGGTAAGTTCTGTTCTGGGTTTAGCCTCTTTGAAGTAGAAATGCCAGCAAAGTTCACTAGCAGTTTCTACAATTGCAGGAGTCCCTGGGAGAATGTTGTCTCCCAGTGTCCACTGCACCCCATCTTACAATCTGGGTTTGTCTCAGTTTCTCATTTTTTCCAATATTAAATTCAATTCTCCATTTTTTTCCTGCAGCAACCTGTTATATAAATGCTTTAAACAATAAAACATGATTTTGAAATAAAAACATGCAAGTGATAAGGGAACTGTATAGGAAATGTAGGGTGTGTTGATTTCATTTTTTAGGGTTTTACGGAGTTTAGGGAGGTCCACTAGAGAAACAAGCAAGCTGCTTGGATCTTAGACTAGGATGACGCTGCCGGAAGCTAGCCTTGATTTCTCCACCCATTCGCGTTTAGGTTGAACTGATGAGTGCTAGGTACCGGCTCAGAATCCTTTTGAAGCATTCATTTTGGGGCATCCCATGTCCCCTCCCAACTGCACAGCAACTACCAGAGAGTAAGACCCACTGGCAACACTGCAGGGCTGTTCTGTTGCAAACCCTTGATCCCTTTTGACTATGGTCTTTAGGTCTTTAGTGACTAACAAATTATGATTTGCCCTGTAGTAACGGTATTGTGTGGTCTGGCTCTGAGGTATTACCGTATTTTTCGCCCCATAGGACGCACCGGCCCATAGGACGCATCAAGTTTTTTTGGGGGAAAATAAAGAAAAAAAAAATTTCCACCCCAGCGCTTGTGGGGCCGGCAGCGGGGAGAAGCGCTCTTCTCCCCGCCGCCCGCCTGCAGACCAGGTCCGGGGACAGCAGGAAGACGCGCTGCGCCTCCCAGCTGTCTGCGGGGCAGGCAGCGGGGAGAAGCGCTCTTCTCCCCACCGCCCGCCTGCAGACCAGGTCCGGGGACAGTGGGAAGACGCGCTGCGCCTCCCAGCTGTCCCCGGAGCTTGCGGGGCTGGCGCTGGGGCTCTCCTGAAGCCTGGAGAGCGAGAGGGGTCGGTGAGCACCGACCCTCTCGCTCTCCAGGCTTCAGTGAAAGCCTGCATTCGCCCCATAGGACGCACGCACATTTCTCCTTCATTTTTGGAGGGGAAAAAGTGCGTCCTATAGAACGAAAAATACGGTAGTTGTGCTGGTATTTATTGTACATTTTATGCTTGCTTTTGTCTTTTTGAAGGAAATTTATATTTAAAATAGTTTTAATATTATATCTTACAGTGTATATCCTAATACATTTCTATCTACTCTGCAAAAAAAGCCTGTGGATTTGTTGCCCTAGGGAGACAGGGTGCTTGAATCCACTTGAATGGCACAAACCTAAATTTCTGCTGCGTGTTTGAATCCTTCCAGAATAGTGGGAGTCTAGAGGAACCCTTAATTTGTAAACTGCTTCTGGAGGCATTCTATTATTATTATTATTATTATTATTATTATTTATATACCACCCTATACGCACAGGTCTCAGGGCGGTTCACAGAATAAAATCATAATATAAAACTACAAAATACATTCTTTGCCTGAAAAGTGGTATATAAATCCATTAAATTCTGACAATTTTAAACTGTGTCCATGGTCACCTTCTCTGTGGTTAATGCAGGTGAATGGAGAGCTCTATACACTGCCTATGAAGACAAACGATGGGAAACTCTGGGCCAACCAGGAAGGCAACAATATCATTGTCCAGTCTGACTTTGGTCTCCAAGTCCTTTTTGACACCTCCTCGTATGTCCTGGTGTCTGTCCCCAGTAACTATCAGGGACTTGTCAATGGCCTATGTGGCAATTTCAATAAGGACAAGACTGATGACTTTACTCTACCCACGGGGGAAAGAACCCAGAATGTGATCGAGTTTGGGGCCTCTTGGAAGGTTCCCATTGATGGTATCAGATGCTCTGATGGTTGTGGAGATAAATGCCCCGTCTGTGATGCAGCCAAGACAGCACCGTACCGACCGGAGAGTTCCTGCGGAATGATCCAAGCCCAATCTGGCCCCTTCAGGCACTGTCACTCCTTGGTGGACCCTGCTGAATACTTCAACCACTGTCTGTATGATATGTGTGCAGCCAATGGTGCAGAAGAAACTCTCTGTAGGAGCATCCAGGCCTACGTAGCTGCATGTCAGGCTGCAGAAGTTACAATTGGAGCCTGGAGAACAAGCAGCTTCTGCCGTAAGTTTGCACAGCAGGAACCTGCAGTTATTGTTATTTATTATTATTTATTAAATGTCTATGTTATTTATTAAATTTCTATGTAAATCACAGGGTGGTTTACAATATAAAAACACAAGAATATGTAGCATAGTAACCAATAACGACAATACTGCCCCCACAGTTTAAAAGGCCACTGTTTATTTAATTAGTCAACGGCCTACATTTTCTAATCTTCTTTCCCCACCAAGCACTCCTTATGTTAATGCTCCAGGTTATAATGACTTGATATCTCTCCCTCTCTCCCTCTCTCTCTCTCATCCATCCATCCTGTTATATTGGCCAACGGATACTTCAATGGTATCTGTATTTGGATCCCATAGAAAATAAGCTATTTCTTTAAAATTATATACCGTATTTTTCGCTCTATAAGACGTACCAGACCATAAGACGCACCTATTTTTTGGAGGAGGAAAACAAGAAAAAAAATACTCTGAATCCCAGAAGCCAGAACAGCAAGCGGGATCGCTACGCTGTTCTGGCTTCTGGGATAGCTGTGCAGCCTGCATTCGCTCCATAAGACGCACACACATTTCCCCTTACTTTTTAGGAGGGGAAAAGTGAGTCTTATAGAGCAAAAAATACGGTAAATAAAAAGCGAATTTCTTCAGCCTCTGTTTTGTGAAGATGCATTGCCTATAGAAAATGGTTTCACCTTCAGCATTTAGATCAGGGTGGAGAACCTCCAGTCTGCAGGTCAAATTAGGTCCACCAACACCCTTCCCATTTGGCCCGTGAGGCCATTTTGGTCAAGCCACCTTTGCCTACCCTACATATACAGAATCAGGTGTGGGGCAGGCATAGGTGGGGCTTCCGCAGGTATGGGTGGGCAGGTTTCCACAAATTTTAACAATGGAGTAGGTGTTTTATTGAATTTCTATTTTCCTTTGCCCTTATCATACACCCTAATGAATATAGGCGATCTCTCCCCTGCCCCCTAACTTAAGAATGCTTAGCTAATGCTCCGTATGTGTCTGGACCATCACTGTCTCCTTTCATTACTTGTCTTCTCTCCCTTCCTTTTCAGCTCTCACTTGCCCATCCAACAGCCACTACGAGTTGTGTACAAAGACCTGTGATTTCACTTGCACCAGCTTATCCACTCCAGGCCGGTGCACAAAACAATGCTTTGAAGGTTGCCAGTGTGATTATGGCTACCTGTTTGACGGTGACAGGTGTGTGGCAGTGGGGAACTGTGGCTGTTCGCATGATGGGCGCTACATAAAGGTAAGTACAGTGAAAGTGGCGGTGTCCATGAATAACACTCTAAGCAAACCCAAAGAGCTAGTTTGTCTAACCTCCTTAGGATGGCCGCTCATGCATTGGCCACCAGAAAAAGAAGATATGTCTGTGGCACCTTCTCATGCTCACCCTAGGGTCACATAGAGTATGCGAGGAGAAAGGGTTGCTGAGAAAGGCCAAGGCTGCAGAGTGACGGAGAGAGAGTGAGACAAGTTGGGGAGAATCTCTGGACCAGCAAAGCTGATGGAGCAGAGCAGGAAGGGACATAGGGAAGCAAGTGCAATATATGAAGAGAGAACATAGCATAGTCGGGGTTGAAATTGATTTAATGCTAATGCAAGTAAATGTGACCTCTTTTAGTATCTATTTTATTATCAGTTTATCATTTGTGTAGCATTGGCATACCCTTATGAATATAGTTGTATAGTTGTATGTTGTTGTTTAGTCATTTTGTTGTGCCCGACTCTTCATGACCCCATGGACCAGAGCACACCAGGCAATCCTGTCTTCCACTGCCTCCCGCAGTTTGGTCAAACTCATGCTGGTAGCTTCGAGAACACTGTCCAACCATGTCGTCCTCTGTCGTCCCCTTCTCCTTGTGGCCTCAATCTTTCCCAAAATCAGGGTCTTTTCCAGGGAGTCTTCTCTTCTCATGAGGTGGCCAAAGTATTGGAGCCTCAGCTTCAGGATCTGTCCTTCCAGTAAGCACTCAGGGCCGATTTCCTTCAGAATGGATAGGTTTGATCTTCTTGCAGTCCATGGGGCTCTCAAGAGTCTCCTTCAGCACCATAATTCAAAAGCATCCATTCTTTGGCGATCAGCCTTCTTTATGGTCCAGCTCTCACTTCCATACCTCACTACTGGGAAAACCATAGCTTTAACTATACAGATCTTTGTCAGCAAGGTGGACTAGTTGTATAGCTGCATGTTTTAAATACTTTGGTTCTGTAAATATACATTTTGAATGTTTGCTTGCAAATGGAATTCTAGTATCAATCATATATAATTGTGCATTTAAATTTTTAATTTAACTACACTTTTCTTATCTCCCTCTCCCTTTTGTGCGTTATAAATCTTCCAGGCTGGCGAGACTATTGTTTTTGAAGGTTGTTCAACCAGCTGCACTTGTCGCCCAACAGGCCAACTGGTCTGTGAGGGAACTAGCTGCCAGTTAGGAGAGATTTGTCGCCTCCACAATGGTGTGCGTGGTTGCAGGGGGCAGGAAGGCGAGTGCATCATCGTCCCTGGAGCACGGTTGACCTCCTTTGATGGCGTCTCTGGGGGAATCCTTTATGAAGGAGCTTACGAGGTGGCTTCCCTTTGCAATGAAAATGACCTCCTTTGGTTCAGGATCATAGCAGTGGTCAAGAAATGCAACGAAATGGATTTGCCATCAGTATCGATAATACACATATTTTTCCAAAGGATGCTTATCACTGTAAAAACAAACAAGGAGGCATGGGTAAGTTCCGTAGGCAGGATCTGGGGTCATCTCCTGTGTAGGTCATACATAATAAACATTACTGACTTCAGCCCATTGATTTCAGTGGGCCTGCTCAGAGAAGATGCTAGTTGGAGACAATCCATTATTTAATTGTTTGTTCGTTTTCTGCATTTATGTAGTGAAATTTCATTAAAATTCTCTAGGTAGCTTACAATATAGAGGTAAAGAAAACAAATAAAACAAATAAAAGTAAAAAGAAAACATAACACCAATAACTACGTAAGATAGCAAAAAACCAAAAGTAAGCCTAAATCACCTTCCATTGTAATTATCTCACCCATGGTCTCTCCTTGCTTTGGAGGGGGCAAAACAGCTCCTTTTCAAGGGTGCAAGGGAGCCTACAATAGGTATGCCTCTGGCTCTGGTCTAAAACAGAAGTGGAAAATCTGGGGCCCGGAGACAAGATGTCTTCCAGGCCTCGTGGTATGGCCCTTAGTACTCTCTCCAGGCGACTCCCATAGCCAGACTACACCCCTCACTGGTCTGCTCCATTCCATTCCATTCCCATTAGTGCTTTTGCTTGGTTGGAATGTGCCTCTGAGCTGTGATTCTACCTCTTGCTCACCTGGGCGAATGGTAGAAATGTTTGCATGTTTAAAAGACTTACTTTTGTGTGGCTGCTATGTATCCTACCATCCAAAGGTAAGAATTGCATGCATGGATCTGCCCACTTTATTCCTATGGCACTGGCTGCCATGTAGCTCCCAGAATGCTGCCATGAAAGAATATGGCCCTAGAAAAGCATTCCTCGCTCTAAAGGATTATGAATAATGGACAATATATGAGGACAGAAAGAGCGGGTGGTGGTTCAGGGCCCAGCTATTGAGAAGTAGACGGTGGCAGAACAAACCAAAGTTGTACAGCAGTAAAAGCAAAGACTGAAAAGGGTACAGTGATACCTCGGGTTAAGTACTTAATTCGTTCTGGAGGTCTGTTCTTAACCTGAAACTGCTCTTAACCTGAAGCACCACTTTAGCTAATGGGGCCTCCCGCTGTTGCTGCGCTGCTGCTGCACGATTTTTGTTCTTATCCTGAAGCAAAGTTCTTAACCCGAGGTACTATTTCTGGGTTAGCGGAGTCTTTAACCTGAAGCATCTGTAACCTGAAGTGTATGTAACCCAAGCTACCACTGTACTGTGTTCTGTGGAGGAAAATTATCCCTGGGGGGTTCAAGTATGGAGGCTCACACCAAATTCCCAAATTGGTCAGACTTTAATCTGTTGCAGGAAAGAAAAATGACCAGATAAGAAAATAGGCTGTGCTCTTGGATTGGTGCTCTAGTTCACCACACACACACACAGCACACACGGGCTTGCCTTTCATGTTGTTTGTGCTCAGTGTGTGATAATCAGTTACACAGCTACTGAATTTGGAGTAATTTTGGATATGATGAATCAGTAGGAATATGCAAACTGTCTCTGCATACTCATTCCTCTTGACCAAGGGTGGGGAACCTCGAGTCCAGGAGCCAAATGCAGTCTTCCAGGCCTCTCCCTTTGGCCCTTGGGACTTTCCCTAGGGCACACCTCTTACCAGTCCTGTTCCATATCTCGTCACATGCTTTTGCCTGACTGGGATGTTTTATTGAACTGTGATAATGTTTTTGCTTGCCTGGATGGAGGGAGGGTGGAATGCTGTTTGTCCATGCCTGTGCAGAAACCTTTGGGTTTTGTGAGGCTGGAAGGTCACCTACCATACAACAGTAACAGTCCACCCATTACTCCATCCACTTTGGCTTCTGGTCTCACCCACCACTGATATGCGGACCCAAGAAAGTTGTTCATCAGGGAATGCAGCCCTCGAGCTGAAAAAGGGTTCCTTTCTTACTCTAACCATTAACACAACACCTTTCACCCTCCTTTTCTGAATTTCAGGTCAATGGGCACCAAGTGACACTCCCAGCAATGGTATCTGCAGGTGTCTCCATAAGCCTCTCTCAGGATGGCGTTGTGATTAATTTGGCCTCCGATGTAAAAGTTCTCCTCAGAGCCTGCGGGGAAATGACAGTGGAAGTCAGCGAAAGCCTGGAAGGAAAAGTCTGTGCCTCCTGTGGCAACTTCAATGGAAATGGTATTGATGACCTGAAGCTGCCCAATGGGAACGTAGCAGGAAATATTGCTGAGGTCATTGATTCCTGGAAGGCCAAGGACTTCACTAGCTGGTGAGTGGCTCTGGGGGAGGTTTTTGCCTAAAGAGGATAAAAGAAGTACTTTGTTGTTTGATCCTCTTAGGGACTGAGGAGTTGTTCAAGGAGTCCACATCATGGACTAAACATAGTCTGCTCTGAAGCCCCCAACCCATATTGCAAGTTGGAACATGGCCTGCCCTGGAACCTGTCTCCCAGACAAATCTCCTGAAGTGGTCTGCTAATTGTCTCTTTGTTCTGAGTTGCATCTAACATTAAACATTTCCAAAGCAGACTCACTGAAATTAACGGACATTACTCCATCCAGCTCTGAGGGCCTTCTGGCAGTTCCCTCACTGTGAGGGAACCAGGCAGAGGGCCTTCTCAGTAGTGGCGCCCACCCTGTGTCAAGGAAATAAACAACTATCTGACTTTTAGAAGACATCTGAAGGCAGCCCTGTTTTGGGAAGTTTTTAATGTTTGATGTTTTATTGTGTTTTAAATATTTTGTTGGGAGCCGCCCAGAGTTGCTGGGGAAACCCAGCCAGATGGGTGGGGTATAAATAATACAGTATTATTATTATTATTATTATTATTATTATTATTATTATTATCTTACGACCATTAATTCTAATAATTCTACTCTGGCTAGAATTTAGTTGGCTACAACCCAATGTTTCACTAACGGGTCCCAGGGCAGAAATACAGCAATAAAACAACAGCAAACTGTTTAAGCAATACTCATATATATGAAAACACCCTTAAAATTTAAGATCAACTAGCAACAGAGAAACAACTTTTATCTGAGTGGCTTGTGACAGTTTTGAGTTCTCAGCTCTCTTCCAGAGGCCAAGCTGAAGAGTTGCATCTTCACTGACTGATGAAAAGTCAGCAGCGTCAGAGCTGAGGGGAAATCTGCACATGATATGGGGGAGGGATTTGTGTGCTCCATCAGCACATGGGGGAAGCCATCTCCCCACCACCACAACCAATACGAAGTCCCTTGGGGCAGGATGTCATTGGTCGGTCATGATGCACTTCCCAAGGGGAAGTTGCCCTAGCCTATTCACAGACACACATTAGTTGCTGTCCTTGCTCGGTGTTTCAAGCTACTAGGATTATTATTTTTAAAGAAAGAAAAATGTAAAACAATGCCCAGGTCAGGAGGACAAGGCAGTTCATGCCACAAGTTCTTCCTTCAGATAGCTGGCTGGCTGGCAGTCAGTTGTTCCCTATAGACAGCAACTAGCATCTGGCAGCAGTCAGCAGATTGTAAAACCAGAAGGATGAGTTACATTCAGAGAGCAAAATACCCATAAACTGAGCCATTACTATTCAATAAAATTCTACAGTTGCATGGGAAGTATTGGACAGTTTCTCCCTGATACATAAACAAGATCATATTGACTTCTTCAAAATTTTCTATTCCAGTGATGTCTGATCCAAAGCAAGCGACTCCCTCTGCTGCTTAACTGTTGGCGTCAACTATTTGCATCTGAGCTTGGAGCAAAACTGTTCTGCATAGAGTATTCCCTGGCTTCACATCTTCATGTTTTCCAACCTGCTATCTGATTGCCAAACAAAATGATGACACTTTTTCCTGAGAATCAATAAATCCTTTTTTTTGGAAAGCTTTTCTACACTGACTTCACTTTGTCGGCATGATTTTATTTCTGTAGATATGCAAATAAATAGGATGGGTGGTGGGAAACTCTGATGGCTATGTTCAAGCAAGGAGGCAAGGAAGCCATCTTCTTCAGCCTCCAGATGTTTGACAACAATTCTCATCATCCCTGACCAATGGCTAAGAGGGCTGGGGACGATGGGAGTTATAGTCCAACAACATCTGGGAACATCAAACAATGTTTGAGAGGCAAAGGGTGTTGAATTTTGAACTAGGCTCCAGTCAGTGCTCAGTCCCTCATAATCTTATGGGAGCAGGTAGGTGTTAACAGAGAAATCTGAGGGCTCCCTTGGACAAAAAACAAGGACACCAGCCAGGAATACCAGAGCAAAACAGCAGCCAGTAGGCTTGGTCTTTATTGAAGACTGTCGCGACAGGACTCCCACCTGCCACAAGGTGGAACAAGATGGAAACCCCGAACAAAAGAGAACCCAAACTTCTATTATCTGGTAATCCCCATGTTGCACCCCCCCAACTACATCACTAATACAGTGGTACCTCGGGTTACATACATTTCAGGTTACATACGCTTCAGGTTACAGACTCCACTAACCCAGAAATAGTACCTCGGGTTAAGAACTTTGTTTCAGGATGAGAACAGAAATCGCACGGCGGCAGTGGGAGGCCCCATTAGCTAAAGTAGTGCTTCAGGTTAAGAAGAGTTTCAGGTTAAGAACAGACCTCTGGAACGAATTAAGTATGTAACCAGAGGTACCACTGTACTTCATGGTTACATCATGAAAGCGGAGGTCTGGTGGCAGTAATCTGAGCATCCTGGACCCTGCCCCATGGTTCCCCTTGCCCTCCACCAAACACCCATCAAGTGTAACAAGGAGATATTTACATTTCCCTGTTTCCTGGCCAAGTTAATCACACCCTTTTGTCTCCATCTGGGTCTGTTATTTCTGGAATGGCTACCTGTCTGGCACTCAGATATCACGTGCCAGGAATTATCACTCAGGCAGAAGGGCTGCTGAGTAGCTGAGCTCACATGTCTATATGAATTTCTGAAGTTTTCCCAGTGAGCCAGTACATAGATACATTTATCAGTGAATTGTTACATTTGATATTGTGCAGCAGAGGCCCTTTGAATAGATAGGAAGAAACTGTGATGAAGTGTTTTGTGAGGACAAATCACAAAAGTCACAAAAGTGATTGTGGTGATTTTGGTAGTGGGCTGCATGTGCATGATATCTGCTGGAGGGGCAACCCCCCCAACCCTATACATAAATTCCTGCAACATAGTGAAAACTTGAAAGAGAGAAATCAGCAGGTGAGAGAGGGGGCTTACTTTCCCTTTCCTGTGGCTCCTGCCCTGGCTGCTTGTAATTGATTTTGTCCTCAAGCTGGGCTCAAAAACAATAGCATGCCCAGTGGGGTGGGGGACAAAGGGCAGTGTGTGTGTGTGTGTGTGTGTGTGTGTGTGTGAAATTCAGTTCACATTTAAAGGTGAATCTACCTAACTCATACATCCTGAATCAAAATGCAAGCTAAAACATCCATCAAAATTTCCACTTCTCCAAATTTTGCAGGGCAGTTCTCAAACCAAGTAAAATGTACAAAATGGCATATCAGTGTGCATTAAAATGCATATGCTTGCCAAAAAGCATATATTGCTTACAAAATGTGTATATTAGGAGAAATTCACACTGAAATGGTGATGAACTTTCATGATTAAAAAAATAAGCAAACTGAAGACGGAATGTAGAGAACTGAAGATAGATTGCAAACATGAGAAAGGGAGATGAGAAGAGAAGACTCCCTGGAAAAGACCCTGATGCTGGGAAAGATTGAGGGCACAGAAAGAAGGAGATGACAGAGGACGAGATGGTTGGACAGTGTTCTCGAAGCTACAAACATGAGTCTGACCAAACTGCAGGAGGCAGTGGAAGACAGGAGTGCCTGGCGTGCTCTTGTCCATGGGGTCACGAAGAGTCAGACACGACTAAACGACTAAACAACAACAACATGAGAAAGGGAGAGAAATAGAAAAGGAGAGTCGCTCATCCCTATTTGATATGTAGGATTTGCATGGCTTAATAGGCAGACTTGGTGGCAAATGCAAGTTTGGGATAGGCTTTAGGCCAGGCTTCCTCAGACTCGGCCCTCCAGATGTTTTGATACTACAATTCCCATCATCCCTGACCACTGGTCCTGCTAGCTAGAGATCATGGGAGTTGTAGGCCAAAAACATCTGGAGGGTTGAGTCTGAGAAAGCCTGCTTTAGGCTCTGCCTTCTGAACAACATCACCCGAGTTGCTCTGGATTTGTAGTATTTCATATCTGAATCGATTTCCGTTTCTGCAAAATGAGTTCTGCCCTATTTTACAAGGCTACTGTCAACATCCCTTAAAAACCCACCATAAAACAAAGTGCCTTCCATATAGACATAATTTATTTGCACAAATACTTGTACAAATATTTGCATGATGGTTGAAGAATGAATCCTGGGCTGGGCGTAGGGGTGGAGTCTCAAAATATCTGTTTCAGTAATCAAGCTGGTAATAACTCTTATTGCCTTGTTATTGCCTTTTAACTGAAGAAGAAGTGTTTGGATTTGATATCCTGCTTTATCGCTAATCGAAGGAGTCTCAAAGCGGCTAACATTCCCCTTTCCCTTCCTCCCCCACAACAAACACTCTGTGAGGTGAGTGGGGCTGAGAGACTTCAAAGAAGTGTGACTAGCCCAAGGTCACCCAGCAGCTGCATGTGGAGGAGTGGAGACGCGAACCTGGTTCACCAGATTAGGAGTCTACCACTCTTAACCACTACACCACACTGGCTCTCTGAGAGAAAAATACAAGGAACTACTAGCTCTCAGACTATGATTTAACCTTCAATGTCTATTCTTCTCCCACAGAGGAGCAGGACTGACCACTATCATCCTAGATATTTTGTCTGTACCTTGCTGTTGTTGTTTAGTTGTTTAGTCCGACTGTTTGTGACCCCATGGACCAGAGCACGCTAGGCACTCTTGTCTTCCACTGCCTCCCGCAGTTTGGTCAAACTCATGCTGGTAGCTTCGAGAACACTGTCCAACCATCTCGTCCTCTGTCATCCCCTTCTCCTTGTGCCCTCCATCTTTCCCAACATCAGGGCCTTTTCCAGGGAGTCTTCTCTTCTGATGAGGTGGCCAAAGTATTGGAGCCTTAGCTTGAGGATCTGTCCTTCCAGTGAGCACTCAGGGCTGATTTCCTTCAGAATGGATAGTTTTAATCTTCTTGCAGTCCATGGGACTCTCAAGAGTCTCCTCCAGCACCATAATTCAAAAGCATAAATTCTTCGGCGATCAGCCTTCTTTATGGTCCAGCTCTCATTTCCATACATGTCAAAAGGATAAAGGTGCTGTGCCATTTGTTCTACTTGGCAAGGGGTGGGAAACAGACCCAGAGGAAGAATGTTTCTTTCTTTAGCCCTTAGGACTCTTCTCAATATTTTGTTCCTTGTGTTAGCAAAGCCACTTACATAAAGCAGATAGAGTCCAGAGATAAATCCTGGTAACACCTTACTGAACAAACTGGAGAAAATATATAATTCGAGGAGAAAGGTACAGAATGGATTTCTCTTTTAGGACAGGTCTTGTACACAGCAAGGGTAGATTCAACTTAATACTCACATGAAAGTTCCCTCAGGGCCACACAGCCACTCAGAGAAAATGCTCTCTCACTAACTGGGACTGATTTGAGTTGATTTGGGATTCTGTCAAATTGGGTTGAAGCACACAAGTCCATCTGGGTCAAAATGGGGGGGGTGGTGGACCTCAAAAGGAGGGGCAGTATGGTGGTGAGGAGAGTGGGTGAAATTCCTCCTGAAACTCAGTAATGACGGATAAAGGATCAGCTCATCAGAGAGCAGATGGGGAACCCCCACAGAAAAGGCCCCACCACAAGTCAATGCCAATCAGGCAGACCCTAGTGGTGGCATGATCAATAAGACCTCTCCTACCAACTGTAGGGTTTGAGAGCCTACCCCCTACTCTTCTATGATAAGAGTGTCCAAAAGCCCATTCCACACCTCCTCCTTCCCTCCCCCCTCCCCGCTTCCACCCCAGATCCTGGTAATAGCAGCTCTCTGTGTCTCCCCCACTTACTCCCTCTGATGCAGGTGCAGAATGCCTTTTATTGATTTTTGCCATCCACCCCAAGGCTGTAGCTCAGTCCCTCAACAGGAGAGCTCCGTAACTTGTGACCACCCATAAAGCATCCTGCATATGCACACTGTCTACATGTAATTCTGCAGAAGCCCAACATTTTTCCTTAAAATGAATTCCTTCCAATGAAATCATTGTGTGACCTTTTATTTCAGAGTCAGTGAAGGATGTGCCGTTAAGCGTTTAACAGCTGGTTGATTGCTGGTTCCTGGGAAAGCATTGCTGCCTTTTGTGAGGCTGATAAACCTTACTTTCCCTTTCCCCGCACCCAGCAATCCAAACAAAGATTTCTGTTTTTGACTATGTGTTTGAGTCTGTGCCAGATCAGCTAAAATTGTGTTTGCTGAAAGGGGCTGGGAATAGAGCAGGGGTCAGCAAACGTTTTCAGCAGAGGGCCGGTCCACTGTCCCTCAGACCTTGTGGGGGGCCGGACTATATTTTTTGGGGGGAAATGAACGAATTCCTATGCCACACAAATAACCCAGAGATGCATTTTAAATAAAAGCACACATTCTACTCATGTAAAGACATGCTGATTCCCAGACTGTCCACGGGCCGGATTGAGAAGGCGATTGGGCCGGATCCAGTCCCTGGACCTTTGTTTGAC